TGTGGACTGGATTACTGTGATGTTACTAGGCTATAACTTTAATGCCATGAGTTAACGTGCAAATGCTCTTGTACAATATTCTGTTTTATTTAACGTTATGTCTAATATAGAACGTAGTAAGAGGACACCCACAGTATTATACTTGCTTACTATTATGCTGTGGTTCTTTGTATATAACGTGTCATGTTAGCTCACCTAGCGTTTTCTGGCTAACGTTACTTAACGGTTCACGGTAACTTCCTACGTTTGGACAGATACGTATTAGCGTACTGTCAGTACAGGAGGTTACTTACTATCCTAGCTAGCAAACGCTGCTAAGGTTTGCTAGCAAAGGTATTCTCTCCTCTTTAGTGTTTTAAGTTTTCACAATTAGACGCTTTTTGTGTTGTTAGCAAAGCACTTTATCCCCATCGATGGTTAATACACCGTTATCTGTCATTGTCTGTACAGCCCAGCTTAAACATAACGGACCCTGGAAATCACTCACCTTCCTCGGCGGCGGCTGCATTTTGGAGTATTGACATGAATGGTATTTCCCTTGTGAGATGTGTTGTAATTCCAAGAGGAAGTCAAAATCAGTGTGGGCCAAATATTTTGTTTCCTCAAACAAGAAAGCCTCCCCTCCAGACGACAGGGAGGTAAGATGGGAGTTAGATTCGTACTCCGGCGGCCATGATTGATGATAAATGGCTAGTTTACACAGCGCAGAAACTGAAGCTACGAGGACCTAAACACATTTGTGTTGGTTGCTGCCACTGGGACTGGCGTGTATCGTACTGTGTTGTGTAGAAGGGGAACAGACAGGCGGAGAAAAGCAGAGGCAAGAGATGGGGGTGATATTAACGGGGAACCCCTTCTAAAACTGAGCCCAATGGCTCCCCAAAGTGGCGGGAAATGGGATAGCATCCAGTCGGTGGCCAAAAAGCATGAGGGCAGAAAGACGTCGGTTTTGTTCTGCCTTTTCTCACCTGGCGTCGACAGTAATGTGTTTTAAACCAAATACGTAGGCAATAAAGATGACACCTAGGAATATTGAACTATTTAGCAAACGGGCATCAGGTTTTGCGGGAGCTGTTCCAGCCAATGAGGCTGCGTCCTGCAGACCTGCATAGCAACAAGAAACCGCAATCGATCAAGGAAAAATCGATCGTGGAGAAGGATGACAAACATCATTAAAAATAAATAAATAAATAAGGGGGAAAGTAAACAAACAAATGACTCCTCGCCTTTCTCAAATACTGATTGTTTTAAATATAATAATGACTGCAAAAATATTTTAGGATTCAGCTGAAAAATGATCATACATCAATACAAATAACACTGATGGGTATTGATTTTTATGTAAGTTACTTATTTATAATAGCCTAAGTAGATCACTTCAAAAGGGAACAGATAAGATCAGATATGGTTATTCAATTTATTGGAAGTAAGAGCACAATCAAGAGTGTGTGATACCCCTTGTAATGACGATGGCACCAGTATCTGCATACATTTGTGCAGTCTAAATGCATATGTTTGTGTGTTGCTCATGGTGAGGAAATAAGATAGATACATAAATGCATCCAGCACATGTATTTGTACATATGCTGTAAAGTATACATATATATATTTGCATACATATATTTTTTTCTTGTAAATTGTGAACCCTTCCTTGCCACCTGTCCTTATTAGGCCAACTTTCTAGGGTAAACTGTGTAACATGGAAATTTAAATTGCCCACACCTCTCAAGGGTGTCATTTTAACTGTTGCCTTTACATACTTCTGCTCACACAACCGGTGTCAGTATAATGCCAAACTACAGCAGACTGTTATATGGCTGGGAAGTTTCAAAATACCACACACACTAAGTGGAAGTAATATATGACGCCCTGGAGGCATTCATTCTGGCTCGATGGACAAAAGTAACTGGGAGGGCAAGTATTCCACTTTATGTCCCCTAAGGCTCAAGTAATCATTAATACACAAAGTCTCAGGTAAGACATTAAGTACTCTTTCTCACCTTTCCTCTCAGTATAACACTTTTATATTCACACCCACTTGGCATTTGGAGAAACCAAACCCATCTTTTAACACACACATACATAACTTTCTGGCAGTGGCAAAGAAGAAAATGGTTGCCAGTCATTGTTGGATTATATTGTTTTTGTTAGGATCCTGCCGAGATAGTTTGGTTCATAATTTCTCTTATGCTTTGTCTTAGGAGCATCTGTTTTTTTTGTTTTTCCCATATAGGTAAGACATTTTTACAGTGAATAATACACACAATGTTGCATATATGGATTGTCTCAATTCTCAAACTATATGCTTGTATTGAATGTATTAGCTGAGTGCTTTTTGTAATAGGATTTGATTTGAATTTGTCTCTATCTGTATTTTTTATGTTAATATAAAAACTACAGTAGGTTACAATGAAAAGGGAACATAAGCTTGAAAATGTAACAATTTCTTTTTTAATTCACCAAATTGAAAAGACTAGCACTTAAACAGTTTATGATAGCGTAAGGCTTGTGTTAGTCACCGTCTGTGGATCATATCCGAGCCTGAGGGCCAACTGCACATGCACTGCATACAGGCTGCAGCTTGTCAGACAGATACACACCTTCACAGGGTTTTCACTCACTCAGGTATCTTAGGCATGCATTCAGCCATCACCGACACTCAGATCTACCATATCTACTCCTAAGAATGAGAATACATTACACAGGACGGTCAACGCAACACAGTCTTTGAAAGGTGACAGGATTCCTACTGTGTGAGTAATTTCATATGTTTTAGGGGTTTTGCCTTTGGGGAGGCGGGATTTATAGCGTATTTCTTGGGACGCTGCATATCTGTGTACAGTCAGTTTAACAAACAGCAAGCTGCTCTATTGCTGGATTGTAAGTTCATAGTATGTAAAATTTTGGAATGGCAGCAGCTGTGAAGTGAAGAGTACAGAACAAGCAAGGGGTGATGTTTTTGGTAAAGAGAAGCCAATGAAGAAAGAAAGAAAAGAGAAAGAGAGTGGATTAGATTTACTCATCAGTCAACTGAGATACAAGTCATTCTGGCACATAGTGTCTAATTTGCATGTGAAGTTATGAAGGCACCATTTTTGTGTTATTATATAACTGAATTGAACTTCAGTTTGCAGATAAACAAATTTACAGAGGGGGGGGGAACTGACTGAGAATGAGTGAGACAGCAATGTAGCATTCATGCTAGTGAGTAAAAACAGAAGCAGGTCTGATTTGAGTTAAGTTATTCAAATCTGTCAGACCCTCTCACGGCCGTGGGGTTTTGGAAAACCTTGACGAGCAAACTGTCAGAATGAATGTTGTTTTTCTGCATGAGAACACAGCTGGACTTTTGTTTAAAAATTTTTGTCACACAAGTTTGCATAAATGTTTGCCTATATCATCTGCAGCTCTGATATGCTAAAAGGTTAGACCAATACATTATGTTTTCAGACAGAAAAAGGAATTAGGATACCAGATCCTTTATCTTTTACTAAAAACACAAAGAAAAAAATGGTAATTAACAGAAGTCAGCATCAAAATGATTCACTTTATGTGAAATGCTCAATGGCTTTAAAATGGGATGACTCAAGCTATGAGCTGGACTGAGTAAATGTGATTTCAGCATCGCAGTGAGCTAGTCTGTTATGTATGTGTGAGTATGACGTGACTGTGTTATGCTGTGCTGTGCTGTTAAGGCATGCCAAAATGAATGACCTGGGGCATCCCAAAATGTAATCAAGGTTGATGTCACTTCCTTAAAGTCATACTCAAGCTGTGGCATTGCATTCATCTACCTTTCAGAAGGCTTCATTTCATATTTTGTTCTTATCTTTTCCTCAGGTGTTCCTACAACCAAGATGGTCACCTTTAACAGCAGCAGCCAAGCCAATGTCAGCACCTTCTACTGTAAATTTAATGAAAACTTTAAATATATTCTCCTTCCTGTCAGCTACAGCTTGGTCTTTGTGACCGGCCTGGCACTGAACGCCATAGCGTTGTATGTGATTGTGTTCCGCACAAAGCATTGGAAGCCCTCCACAATCTACATGTTCAACCTGACAATGTGTGACATGCTTTACATCTTCACTCTGCCCTTCCTCATCTACTACTATGCTGATGAGAATGACTGGCCCTTCAGTGAACCGTTCTGCAAGCTGATACGTTTCCTGTTTTATGCCAACTTATACGGTACACTTCTGGCACAACACACACTCATATGGTACATGTGATAGTATGCTATAATGCAAGACAATCCAAAAAAAAGGATGTATATATGTAATATAGAATATCCAATATGAGATGTACAAAAAAATTATATAAGATATTCAGCAGTAGTGTAGTATAAAAGGAGACATTATGATCTAATACATGATGTGACTTGAAGTGACAACACACATAGAAACATAACGGTAGTAATACAGTAAGATCAGGTACAAAACAACAATCTGATACACTACGATACACTGAAGTATGATACGAAACAACGTGACACATTAAATGTCCCCAGACTCTACAATATGATACAGTGCAGTTCAGTGTGGTGCAAAACAATACAGCACAATACAAATTTTATAAAACTGCTAAAGAATGGCAAGATATCATAAAATAAGATGTAATACAGTAAAGAGACATTATGATTCAATGTGATATGGTAAACTGTCATACATACAGCTATGCAGTACATTCCATTATGCCTATACTATTTGTTCATGGACACTGTCATCAAAAGTTAAGTGCATCATTCCAAAACATACAGCACAGAGTGCGACAAACAACTGAAAACCTACAGATACATTATCAGACAAATCTAATGCAGCTGAACCTTACTGCCTATTGCCTGTACTGTATATAATACACAATAGCAAATAACTAATCCAACACAGTCTACATAACAGGAGTGCATTAACTATCTATCATTAACCTCACCATAGGTTCCATTCTGTTCCTGTGCTGTATCAGTCTGCATCGGTTTGTTGGCATCTGCCATCCAGTCCGCTCCCTCTATTGGGTCAGCGCTCGTCGGGCCAGGCTGGTGTCTGTGGCAGTGTGGGCCTGTGTTTTATCCTGCCAGGCGCCTGTCCTCTACTTCGCAAGAACTAGGTGATCTAAATTTTTATAACTTTCTTCTGAATTTGTCTCTAATTGTCTTAAACTGTGGACTAATGATTTTCGCAGCACACCAAATTTGCAAAGTAGCTTATCTTTGTTTTGTTTTTTTTAAAGGAGCACACTTTAATGAACAACAACTAGCTAATACATTTACATTTTATCTCCTTTCTTTTATCACTCCTATTTCTCTTGGTTCAGTGCCAAACTAGGCAGCAGTTTTATTGAATAATCCTGAACCACTGCAATCTGCTGTCTCCTTTGACAGGGATGAAGCCACTGAACGGATTTGCTATGACACCACAAGCCCAGAGCTCTATGATGACTTCTTGGTGTACAGCTCAGTCGTGTCAGTGTTCATGTTTGTCCTGCCCTTTGTGGTAGTGATGGTGTGCTACGGCCTCATGGTACGGAAGCTTCGAGAGCCGAGCTGGGGGTCTGAAGGTGAGAGGGGAGGCCTGGCAGCCCAGCGGTCCAAGCAGAAGTCAGTGAAGATGATTATTATTGTGCTGGCAGCCTTCATGCTCTGCTTCCTCCCTTTTCACTTCACCAGGACTCTTTATTATTCTTTCAGATACCTAAGGCAGGTCAATCCAGCACAGGTGAGGACAGATTTTTTTTAAAAACAAACGTGCCATAATTGTTTTAAAAACCTCAGTGTGTTACAGTTTTGTATGTTCATCAGGTGAGCTGTAATTTTCTGGAGGCCTGCAGTATTGCCTATAAGGTGACACGACCTTTGGCCAGCGTCAACAGCTGTGTGGACCCCATCCTCTACTTCCTGGCTGGGCAGGATGTTCGAACTAACCTCATAAAGAAGAACAAGTCATCCTCATCAAAACCAACAACTGTGAGTCAAAGCATGACAACACAACTCTGACCCACTACCTACAATGATCCATCCATCCATCCATCCACCACCTATCCACAGTCATGGGAAGCTGGAGCCAGTCCCAGCTGACACTAGGGGTACACCATGGACAGGTCACCAGTCATTCAAGGGCTATCCGAAACCATCTGGATAAAAATGCAAAACGTTGCAAGGACAAACACTCTTCTTCTCTGGTACATGTGACAACCTGTAACTGCTCCAAGAGTGTACCTTTCAGTCTTCAACGTCTGCCAGGTGTCTGGCAAACATTTGGCAAGCATAGGGTTTCAAGGGTCAGGTCAGTCTATGAAAAAGGCAATGGTTCTACAAGAAATAATTAAACAAATACAATATTTTTTGTTTCATTTTTGTTTTCTCAAAGAGTGCCATTTGTAGAATAGACACATGCTGTACACATGCTGTACCTGTGTTATCTTTATTTAAAAATTTCACAGCGGGTAAATAAAAACCTGGGAAACATTTTACAACTTGTAAAATCCTATTTGACTGCTAAATGTCTTAGCATATCTCATGTAATGATTTTTATAAAGAAGGTTACATTCAAGCACAGTGACTTCAGAAACAGGGACAATGCAGCCATGGTGACCGAAAGTTATAAACAGACTGTCAAAGTCATGTGGTGCATTCTAGACTTAAGGCTTTAAAGAACTTTAAATTATTTCTAGAAATCATGATATTTTGTTGTGGTTGAAGATGTATAATTGGAAAACACAAGTAAACTAGAAGGTGCTCCACAACTGTGGGCTATATGTTAAGACTTCTCCTTTTATATAGCACCAAGTGGGTTTTCATCAGCTCACTTTTTCCAGAGTTGCCATGTTTGTGTTCCCCTGTGATCAGCCTCACTGTCCTTTTTAAGTCCTGTGATGAATGTCCTGAAGTAGTGTCTGTGTCACACATATTTTGACAATATAGTTATGGCGCTAGTTTTAAAATAATTTGTTTATTTTATATGCCATAATTTACGTGAAGTAAGACGTGATTCTTGTACAATAACTGTATAACTGAATAGCTGAATGGGTATTTGAAACCAAAGCACTTAGCTGTCCCTTTAAGTTTAAACATACTAACTGTAATTCATGGGAAGAGTAACTTTTGGTTTAGTGTCGCTGACCAACTTCCTAATCTAATTTGTATTGGTTACACTTTAACATAATAAGTGGTCTTTTTATTTAAAAAACACAGACCACAACTAGGGGGCGACACTGCCTAACAGACCAGGCTAAAACCTTCATTTTATCATTTTTTTCATAGTTCACTAGAAATTCTCTCTCTCCCATACACACACACGCCAATTACACACCCATGTTTCACACTCTCACACACAACAGCAAACAACCACTAAAAGGCATGTAACTGTATGTGAACAGCTAAATAAAAAAATCAGCATTTAAAATACACTTCTTTATTTCAAGGGTAAAAACAAAATGCAATCTACCAAGCCGGTGAGATGAATGTATTTTTTTTATCCTTCCTTTCTACCAAGGTGCACTTCAGATTAGAAATAAAACCAGACCAAATAAAAGCATGTACAGTAACTGCTGAA